AGGGCTGGGGGTGTAGATCAGTGGTAGAATGCTTGCCTAGCATGCACAAGATCCTGGGTGCATCCCCAGCAATGAAAAACAAAAGTAAACAACAACAACAAAACCAGAAAGATCTGAAGATGCTATGCTGATGGCTCCAAAGGAGGGGCAGGGGCCAGGAGCCGTGGAGTGCAGGAAGCTCTAAGAGCTAGAAAAGGCTGAAGAATGGATTCTCCTCTAGACTTTCCAGACGTAACACTACCATACTGACATTCTGGATTTAGAACTTCTGCCCCCAGAACTGAGAGATAGTAACTTTGTGTTGTCTCAACGGATCAAGTTTGTAGTTATTTGTTAAGGCAGCAATAAAAAACTAATACAATTTTGCTGGGCACCAGTGGCTCATTCCTATAATGCTAGCTACTCGGGAGACTGAGATCAGGAGGATCACAGTTCAAGGTCAGCCTGGGCAAATAGTTTGAGACCCCCCCATTTCCAAAATAACCACAGCAAAATAGACTGGAGGTGTGGCTCAAGTGGTAATCCACCTGCTTTGCAAGCACAAAGCCCAGACCCACTCAAAAAAAAAAAAAAAAAAGAAAAAAAGAAAGGAACGATCTAGAGCAATGGCTCTGAACCTGAGGCAATTTTGCTCCCTCAGAGGGCACTTGGTGATGTCTGGACACATTTTTGGTGTTGTGACTCTGGGTGTAACTGGCTAGTAGATAAAGACCCAAAAAGCTCAGAGGAGCCCTACAACAAGGAATTATGTGGTCAGAATGTTATTATGTGATCAACAGTGCCGAGGCTGAGGAGCCCAGCCCCAGGAGGACTCTGGTGGAATGTTAACAGTCCTTCCTACCTCTTCCTTTTCTCCTCTTTAAAAACAAATCTCCGAGCATCCCTCAAAGAGACAGAGAAATTAATTTCCTCACTGATGCAAACAGCAACCTTACTGTGGAAACCTAAGAACCAGGTCGACACCACTCTGCGGACAGGTTCATGAAAATGTGTGACCACACTGGGCTTTGTTCACATAAAACAGACAAGGTGTAAAGACTATTTTATTGTTCTAGAAATTAGACGGTTGTGGTTTAGAGTACAAGGCAGAAAGGATTTTAATTACAGCTTCAATTGGCAAAATGCACAAGAGTGCTTTGAATTTCAATGTTTTTCTTCTTAGAATTCAATTTGATAAGAAATCTTAGATTTCATTAGTACCATTATTGTTTTCCTTGAATTTGTGTATTATATTGGTACATGGCCTCCAAAATGGCAAATCTTTTGAAAAATTCCAACGTTTTAAAAGCTCTTTAAGTATATTTCATATCATCACTAAGGTTGGCCTGTATATTTGTATGTCTGATTTTACCTGCATTTGGGATTTAAGAAATGTGTGGTACTACTGGATACAGTGGCTCACACCTATAATCCCAGCTACCTGTGAGGTAGAGATTGGGCAAAATGTTAGCAGGACCTCATCTCAATCAAGCTGAGTCTAGTGGGTCACTTCTGTAATCCCTGCTATGTGGAAGGCCATAGGCAGAATGCCATAGGCAGAAGGATCATGGTCTAAGGCCAGTTGGGGCAAAAAATGTGAGGCCCTAACTGAAAAATAACTGAAGTGAAAAAGGCTGGAGGAATGATTCAAGTGGCACAGCGTCTGCCTAGCAAGTACAAGGTCCTGAATTTAAACCAATACCACCAAAAAAAAAAAAAAGTATGATTTTGTTCACATAGTATAAGTTATTTCTACAGCTCAACAACCAATAATAGCCTTTTTTATTGGAACATTCCATACTTTAGAGATAAAATTTACAAAAATTCTCTGGGTATTGGCTGAGAAAAATGTTTGTGATTAAATTTTAACGCTTAGTCATTCACCAGGCACTCTCCGTGTGTGCCCAGGACACTGTGTACTACTGGCAGGTCAGACAGGAATACAGTGTGTCTCACTTCTCACATTGAACTCTCTGTTTACATTGCCCTCTTAGTGGCCAGACCATGTGAGCCAAACAAAAGGAACCGTGTCTTACTCCTCTGTCTCTGCTGGTCTCAGCCTAGAGTGCAATGCCTGGCACACACCAAACAGGCACGTTGCATGAATGAGTAACCAGAGAAAAGGTAGCAGAATGGGCACTGTGAGTGAAGAAGGGCAGAAGGACTACTAAGGGTTATCACCAGGGATCCACTGGCCCAATGACATGGCTGAGACTCTGAGTGGAAAAGCCTAGATCATGAGAACCTGAAAGACACCAAGGCCAGTATCTAACCAAACAAGAGCTTTGGGACAAACAGATCTGAGTTCAAGTCCCAACTCTGCCACTGTTAGCTGAGCAACGTTGGTTGGCACATTAATTCCCTCTCTCTCTGAACCTCAGCTTCCTCATCTGCAAAATTCATTCTTCCAATAGAGTGGAGCAAAGCAAACGAGGTGGAAAAGAGGGAGAAAGGTGGCTAGGAAAAGCCACTAGGGCAGACAGCTAGCTCTCCTGGAGGGCGTACCTTGCCCAGCCAGTGACTACATTTCCCAGCATCTCCTACACCTTGGTAAACCATGTGACTGCATTCAGCCAATGGAACGTGGGGCAGAAATAACTTACATTACTCCCAGGCTGGCCCAGCAGCCCACTTCCCAGGCCCTGGCCAGCCTCCCCTCCCCCACAATCCTGCCCAGAGCAGAATCACTTATAAAGCTCTTGCTTTGTAGCTCCTCTGAGCCCCCTGGAGAACACCAGCTCCCTACTCCCTGGGCTTTAAACGTTGTCAGGCACGTGGCCCAGGCTACTGTCCCTCTCGTCCTCTGGCCAACTCATCTGCTCCTCTATCAGGTCTCATTTTGAAATGTCACCTCTTCCAGGAAGCCTCCTCTGATCCCAGGAGACAGGCACTTTTACTTTCATTCCATAAATGGGGAAACTGAGATCACACAGCTAGAAAGTGGACAAGGTGGGTTTGAATTAACCTAGCCGAATCCAGAACTTTTAACACAGTCATTGCTTCTTGACCAGATGAATCTAAACTCCAGGGGCCCCCAGCACCACCTCACCTGAGGACTTGCTAGAAAAGAAATTCCACAGCCTCACTTCAGACATTCAGAATGAAACTCTGGGGTAGGCCCAGCAGGGTTGCTGATGTGCCCTGAAGTTTGAGGTCCACTGTCAGGAGACATGCTCTGCAGTTTAGCCCTCTGCTATCCACCACTTCCTGTGGCTCACCACATCCAGAAGGACTCACAGCTGGAGAAGAGCATGCATGCCATCTCTGACTTTGCAACCATCTAAAATGATTCACTGGGACTTCCACAGTCCCTGGCTTTGGGGGCCTGGTGGGGGGCGGGTAGAGGAAGTCATCATCTTTGGCTTTCATTATGGTCGTGTGTTAAGTGGCCCACTCTTTCCATTGTCTAAAGCCTCCTTTCTTGGCCCCATGGCCCTGCCCAAACCACTTTTATCACAGGTGTACACATTGTCCTCCCTCTAACTACTTTCTTCTAGGGGTGTCCTCAGCTCAGCAGGGTAATCAACTGTCAGCAGCTGCTTCGTCACCAGAAGGGATCTCCCTCCACACAAAATCAGTCCAGTCAGCCACTCTTATTTTGCCTCTCCTTCTGGTCATGAAATTTTCTGCCTCAGGGAAAGTTTCCTCACTATTTTCTGCAGAAATAGTGAATCCTAGAGAAGGAATGTGAGTGAACCCAAGCCTCAGCTTTCTCTGCATGGCTCCCAGAGTCTAGGCAAACCAGCTGCCAACCCTGCAAAAACAAGACAAGACTTCTTTGGGGACTGTGACCAGTGCAGGATAAAAAGTCTTAAAAGTCACCCTTCTGGGGTGGAACAACCTGGCCAGAACCTGGCAAGGAGGGGACAGACAAGCCACAGCACAGACCTTCCAAAGAGCTTATGGAAACCCCATTCTTTTCAACAGACAGCCAAGGACCCTCAGGGGTGGTGAGAAAGGTCCCCAGACTCCTCCTAGCTCCTGGCTGGGTCCTCCTTGAGCCCCAAGAGTCCAGGACAGAAAAGGGGGAAAGAGGGAGATTTCTTCAGTCCAGGCTTGAGAGAAACACACACCATCTACTGGGCTGGCATCCCTTCCCCACCCAGCTCAAACATCTCTTCCTCCAGGAAGCATTCCTGAGTATCCTCACCTTCACTCCCTACACACTCCCTCCCACCACTGTCAGCTCTCACCGACTCGCTATGTCCCCCACTTAGTCCATGTTGCTTAGGACAGTGTGCGGTTTATGTGGTTCGCTCCCACTTGGGTAGCTTCTGGGGGCCTGGGGACCCCTCTGGGCCTCGGTTTCCTTCTCTGTTAAATCTGCTGTCCTGCTTTGAGTGGCCCCAAGGCAGGGAAAGCCCACCCAGGAGAATCAGAACCCAGACTCTGATAGGAGAATTTCCCCAAATTGGGGAAAGGAGAATTATCCTCCCCACCCCCCGCCCCCATCATCGGTCACACGGCAGGCGCAGCTGGGCTGGCTCCCCGCAATTCCGGACGCGGGCCAGGCGGCTCTAGGCAGGGCTTCCCGCGGAGGCCCCCGCCCCCGCACTCTCGGAGTCATGCTCTGCCCCTTGGCGCACAAGTCATCAGCTCCTGCCAACCCTCCCCCCAACTCCCGCGGCCAACAATGCAGCAAGGGCGTACACGGCTGTGGAGGTTCCGGGAATGGGGACCCACCCATGGGCCTCTCTTTCAGGGGCCGGGCCAGGGGAAAGCCGCTTTGGGCACTTTGGGGGTTAGGTGAACGCTGCGGGCCCCACGGGCGCCACAGGCAGAGGACCCCACCCCCACCAGCGGCCTCTCGCAGGCAAACACCACGCACCGCTTGACAAGTGCTTTCCCCACCGACATGGCTGTGACCCCCTTGCTCGACTCCCCCACTTTACAGCCGCACACACTGAGCCCCGAGAGTTTGGCAACCGAGAAGCTCCCCACTGTCCTGCAGCGATGCCTTGGGGCGCGCAGGCCCGGAGGGCCCCGTCCGATCTGCACCCAGCACCGCAAGCCGCACCTACCTCCCTCGGGCAGGCAGGCGCCGCAGCCGCTGCCCACGGCCGCTAGGATCCCGAGCAGCCCGCAGAGGCTCGCGGCGCGGCGCTCCAGGGTGCAGGACAGGCGGCCCCCGGGAGAGCCGGGGAGCGGCGGGCGGGCGGCGCTCCGGGGAGACCGGGCGATTGCAGCGACCCGGGGACTCGTGCCCAGGACGCCGGCGCAGGCGACAACGAGCGGGACCGGGCTGGGGCAGCGACCGCGCTGGGCTCAGCGGCGTTGGACCTAAAGGAGCGGGGCTGGGACAAGGCTGCGGCGGGGGAAAGGGCGGGACTGCGGGGCGGCAAGGCGCGGAGCGGCGGGGCGCACGTGGTCGCCCCCTTGCGGCCGTCACCGCACCTGCACCCGCCGCGCTGGCCTCCGGCTCCACGCGGCCGCCGAGTCCCCTCAGTGACGCGGGCTCAGTGAACACTACTCGGTTGTGTAAATCCCCATACATGATCGTAAAAATCAGAAATGCTGCTTTGTCTGGTTTCTGTTTGTAAAATTTAGGCACTTTGACAATTGCAGTTATTTGTCATCATTTAATTAATATCTCATCCAAATATCCCTTATCTGCGTTGGATTCAGTGTTGTATTCCTAACTCTGAACCCAAGGCTTGGTATACAGCAGGTGCTTAATACCTCTGGAATGAATGGATAATGGATAAATATGGAAAGGTCTGGAGAAAAAAAGAAAATTAATGATTGCTACTAAGAACATCTTGAAATATCCTCCCAGATACTTTTCTAATAAAATTGTTCAAAATTTCACAGGATTTTTTTTTTTTTTTTTTAGTGAAAGTGATAGTAAAGTTTATTACGGAAGGAACACATTTTCAATAGACTGAAAGCAGGTGGTCTCTAGAGTGAGGAGAACAATCTCATAGATTTTATTTTAGAATAAAAATAATAACAGTTGCATTTACTGAGCAACTAACTTCACTCCAGCTCTGTAAGGTGGGTAGGATTCATTAGCCCCGTTTTACACATCATAAAGTCCAGGCTTATGGAAATAAAGGCTTGCTGGTGACCAGCCAGGAAAGGACAGAGCTAGAACAAAGCCAACCTTGCCTGATTTCAAACCCTGCAAAAGACTTATGAGGTAGTTTCTCTTGGCAAAACACCTCCAGATTGCAGGACTCTGGATGTAGGGATCTGCTGAGTTGCTCTGCATAGTAATACAGGAGAGGAATCTGAACAATCCTCCAGGGGGAGAGAAGGAGAAGGCAGGCCAAAATTTGAGGATATTAGGGCTGAGAAACTGATACCCAAAGTGAAGTTCTCAGCAGTAAAGTATTTCTCTGCCTTTTTCCCACCCTCCTGTCTCTGGCCCTCATTCTCCTCCAGGCAAGCCACAAGAATTACAATTCCTCTTCCCCAAGATGGGACATAGGAAACACAACCCCGTTTCCCCAAAGCCAACCATAAAACCTAAAATACCTCTCTAGCTTTCCCCGCCTCTGTGTAAGCACACATTCTTTGGCCCGTCTTGTTTGGTTGGAGGTCCTTGCCTCACACCCAGGAGAAGACACCCTAACAACAGAGGGGCCAGAAAGTATCGGAAGGGAGGCCTTGCTGGTCTCCCCACTCCATAATTTCCATTAGCTCAGACCTTTCTGTCCTGTCTCATTTCTACATTTCTGTCCATGCTTCGAGGAATTTAACCATGAAGATGGATAGTTCACTCCAGGTTTTTAGGTCTTCAGTCTAAAGACTGAAGTGATCAAATAAATGTATTGTCATTTTTCTTCTATCTGCAGGAGAAACTGAACTTCCCCAGATCCTCCTGGGAGCACTCAGTCCTTCAGGCCTGAACAATGTTGGCTGCAAGATTATTTCTGCATTCTTGCCACTCTATCAGGCCAGAGGCCAATGCTTGTAGCTGGAGCTGCCTCCGAACTTCCCTACACTGTGGGAAGGAGTGGAAAGGGCCTGCTCCAGTAGGGGAGAGCCTAGGGGACATTTACATAGTTTGCTGTGGGATATGCAATGCAAACCTGCTCCCATGCCCCAAAGAGTCCTTCTTTGGCCAGAGTGGGGGTGGATGAGGAGTTCTCCTGTGGAGCTGGAGGTTGTGCCAAGTTCTTTATCCAGGTGAGGCCCAGGCAAACACAGAGATGGCACCTGGGTATGCATGTGGGTATATTTAGGTTTGTCCTAACACAGTGAACTCCTATCTGCATGCTGTTCTTTTTTTCCTCTTATCACTGATGGTGAACGTTTCTCATTTGGAATGCCTGCTTTGATATGCCTTTGGGAGACTATTATTGACAGCTGACATTTACAGGGCATTTGCTTTTTGCCAGGCACTGTGGTAATTGCTTTCCAGGCTGCTGTGCTTGGATGTGGTTTGGTTGTGTCCCCCAAGGTTCATGTGCTGACACTGAAAGTCCATTGGGAGTATTAAGAGGGCAGGAGGCTAGTTCAACCATAATGTTTAGATGTGGGGCTTTTGAGAGGTGAATGGAACTATGTAGGGTCATTAGACGGGAGCTCTCATGATTGAATCCTGATGGCTTTATAAGATGGAAGAGAAATGACACCCATATGTACACATGCTTCCTGTCTCTCACCCTGTGATGCTCTGCACCACCTCAGGCTTCTGTCAGCAAGAAGGCTGTCACCAGATGCAGCCCCTTGACCTTGCACCTCCAGAACCATGACCAAAATAAATCTCCTTTCTTTATCATCTACCCTGTCTTTGGTTCTGAGTTCCTGGCAACAGAAAACAGTCTAATACATAGGCGTGTCCCTTTTAACTTTCATCACAACCTTCTTACTTTCTCCTACTTTGTACACAAAAACATTGAGGCACATTAAGTGACTGTCCCAACTGACACACCTAGTTTATTGACAGAGACAGGGTTTGGCCCAGGTCTGTGTAGACACAGGTCTCTAAGCTTTGGCTCTCTGGTGTTTGAAACCTGTAAAAGTTCAGATTCTCCTGGGAGAGCTCAGGCCTTGAGGACTGAACAGTGTTGGCAGCAAGAATAGTCTTTAAAAAAATGGTTTTCCATTCTTGGTTAAGGCCTCTCCATCTTGCCGTGTGACCCTAGAGTCAGAGGCAAACAGTTCTGGCTGGAGCTGCCCATCTTGAGTCACAAAACTTGTTGGGACATGGACAGATGATTGCCTGCCCTTCTGGAAGGTCATCTCCTGTGTCCACAGGAAGGAAGAGTTCTCTCTCTCTCTCTCTCTCTCTCTCTCTCTCTCATAGTCATCCTAGTGAATTTGCATTTTTTATTTGCATTTTCCTAATGGCCAACGATTTGAGTATGTTTCATGCATTTATTTGCCATTTGTATATTTCTATATACAGAATTTCACTCCTAGGTATATACCCAAGAGAAATGAGAATATATGCCCACACAAAAATTTATGGATGAACATTCACAGCAGCATTGCTCTGATGATATCAAATGTGAGAACAACCCAGATGGCATGAAGTGAGGAATGGATAATTCAAGAGGCCTAGCTATACAGTGGCATATTACTTGGCAATAAAAAAGGAAAGCAGTGCTGACACATGCTCTGATGTTGACGGACCCTGATGACATTCTACTAAGTAAAAAATTCAGGCACAAAAGACAACAGATTGTATGATTTCATTTATATGAGATGCCCAGAATAGGAAAATCCGTAAAGACAGAAAGTAGGTTAGTGGTTGTGAGGGGCTTGGAAGGCTGTTTGAGGGAATGGGGAGTGACTACTTATGAGAACAGGGCTTCACTTTGGGGGTGATGAAAATGTTCTAAAATTGATTGTGGTGATGGCTGTGCAACTCTAAAAACATACTAAAAGTCACCAAATTATACACTTTAAATGGGTAGATTATATGTACGGTATGTGAATTATATTCCGATAAGGCTGTTACTAAAAACAAACAAACAACAAAAAGACAACCCACAATTATGCTATCTCTGTCTCAGCGGGATGCTTCAATGTGTGGCAAAAGACAGATGACAGGGAACAGTGCTGCCACCCAGCCACCCTCGAGGGGCCATCCCCAACTCCAACAGAGTCAGCCGGGCTTGGAGAGCAGTGTTGGCTAAACACACAGAGGATGCCCCTAAAGAAGACAGTAAGGCTAAGGCATTACTGCTCAGATTCTCTCTCCACCCGGGCTTGGTGTATATGTTTTAGGCAGCAGAACAACAGACCTCCCTGGCTCAAAAGGTCCTGGACTGCCGGGCATGAGAAACACCCACCATAAAGCCAGCCAGCTGATTGGCTCACATGTAGCTGTAGAAAGACTTGCAGGCCAGGTGTGGTGGTGTCTGTCTGTAATCCCAGCACTTGGAAGGCAATTTGAGGACAGCCTAGGCTACATACAAAGTAAGACCATGTCTCAGAACAAACAAAAAGACTTGTAGGAACTATGAAGTGAGCCGTCCCCTGTCTCAGTGTGCTCCCAGGGTGGGGTGAGCTTCTAGTTCCATTTGCCTATGTATTTGCATAGTGAAAGATCTGGAAGAATCCACCTCAAACTTTTGCAGCAGTTGTGTCTAAGCTGTAAGATTTGCTGGTGAAAGAGGGCTGTGATTAGGGAGAAAAATTTCCTCTAATGTTACACCTATAATTTAACCTTCAAAATTTTTTCAATGAGCACTTAGGTATTATTTAATTAAAATTTAAAATTTTAAAAATTTAAAAAAGATTTAAATTTAAAAAGATGAAAAAATTTAAAAAGATGAAAACCAGCTTCCTTTATTTCAAGGCTGAGCAGAGTCTCACTTGGTGGAGAAATGAAAAGTGATCTTATTTTATTTGTGCTTTTCTTTTTTAGCTCCAGTACCAACAAGGAGCACGGATGACTTTTGCAAAAGTTATTTCTGAAGTTCATATAGAAACCACAAAAAGGAAACAGAGTCCAGTTGCTCAGCCTCTGTGACCTCCCCACCCTTGCCTGGCTGTGGCTGGGCTTTGCATATGATCTGCTCTTGCAGTGTCTTGAGGGCATAAATCACCAGAGAAGCCCAGTCAGCAGGTCTGCAGGAGGCCAGCAGGGAGGTGGCCCTGGATAAGGGCTGGGCAGGGCCACAAATCCAAGGCCTTGCTGCCAGTGGGTTTGTGTTCTGTTGGAGAAGAGACTTTGGCATGAGGGTTCAGAGCAGTTCTAGAAACAGCCACTCAGCCCCCAGCCTGATTTCTGCCTGATCAGGCTGAGTAAATACAGGATAAGTGTTGACTTGAATTAAATTCTCAGAGAGAGAGAGGGAGAGAGAGAGAGCAAGAAGGAGAATTGGAGCCAATGCTGCC